GTCATCCTTTGAAGTTTAATTAATTAGCTGACTATAATTAATGATCAGGGTTGGGAAGTTTACTTTTTTAAAATGTAGGTTACAGATGACTAATTACCCTGTTAAAAATGTAATACGTAATGTAACTGACTATGTAACTATTTGTATTGATAATCTAATGTTAATTATGGTTCTTTTATGTTTTTTGTGAGTCACTTTGGATAAAAGCCTCTGCTAAATAACATAACCATAACATACGGTTTCATTAAACAAATAAACAAAAAGGCTAACAGTTGGTTTTGCAGCGAGTCATCATAGGCTAACAGATGACAGTTAGCACGTGTTACTGTAATTAGTGATTAAATCAACAATTAATGTAGGACACCTAGTTGGGCTTGCCAAAATCACGCTACAGTTTCATTAAACAAATAATCAAATATGCTAATGAAGCTAATGCTATTAGCATTAGCTTTTGCCGAAAGCTATAGCTAACAAATAATTGTTTTTAGTGCCTTTAATACTTTTAGAAGCTATCATAAGCTAACAGATGTTTGTTTGTATTGCCTTAAGACTATCATAGTTAATGTTAGCTAATCACACTTCATTTCAAGACACCGGAATTGTTATTAATGTTAAACAAATAAAACTTTAAAAGCACTTCACACTACTCACACTCTCTGCGTTGTCGTTCATATTCATGTCTCCTGCTCACTAGGTGGCGATGTTGCAAAACAACTAGGGTCCTGAGAGTGCATGCGGTCCTGAGAGTGCATGCGGTCCTGAGAGTGCACCCTCCTCCGAGGCTGCAGCTTCATACTACTCAACTCTGACGCCACTGTCGAGCCGTTAGTGGCCGACTCCGCCTACTAAGGGCTTCTCGGCAACTCTGCAGAATCCTATGGGTGACGTCACGGACCCTACGTCCATTTATATATACAGTCTATGCTCTGGACCGACAATCTTTTGGAGCTGGAAGTGAACCGCATTCCGGAGCTATGACGCGCCGCCGCTGCGGTGTGAACAGGAAAAAGCGCTGGTGTGAAAGGGGCATATTGCCCCTTTCACACATGGCTGTGACGCACTGAAAAGTACCACATGTATCTTGATCAGTTATACCTGTGTTTACCCTGCGATGACACGTCAAAACCGCTGCTGTGTTAAGGGCTTTGGTTGGCACAAAAAAAGCCAATAATCAATTGGATTAAAAAAACACAAGTAGGCCTACAACAAATAAGTATGTTTTTGTCATCTTATCTTTTTGTAAGTGTGTCTGATATTGATAAACTGATTTGGAATTAACATTCTTGTTTGTTATATACAGCTTGCTTCATTTGGATCTAGCCTGCAATTTTTAAAGAGTTTTTTTTTGCTATTACTTTTGGAGGTGGTGGCAGAGGGGGCCCTCTGCTTCCCCCTATTGTTAGAAATATTTTGTAGAAATGTAGTTTGTCATTATTGTATTGAGTTTGACCAAGCTTGGTCCTTCAAAGGAAGTGGATATCGGTCTTAATAATTTAGGTATTTATATATTCAGGATTACTCGTCTTTCTTTCATATTTGCTAGGTAATAGCTTAAGTGTTTTCTGAAGGTGTTTCACAATTGTATCTTATTGATCCCCTTATAAAGTGCATCAAAAGCATTTTATACAACTGCTTAAAACAAGAAAATAATGACAATACAAAGTCAAAACAGTTGTCTATGTCTGTTCTATTTATTCATCTTAAATCTTATCATACAACAATCCTTTTACAGACTGTATATAAATATACTGTAAAGGGGGCAAGAAAGAAACACAAATACACAAAGATTATACATACATCGAAATGTATATTCTTTACTGGTGGAAATAACTTGCATCAGTTTTTAAGATAAAAAATAAATAAAACCTATTCACATTAAATCAAACTTCAACACACCGTTTTTCCACCGTGGAAAGACAGAAGTTTGTAGGGGGGTTCTGAAATACAAAAATATTCCTATGTTACTTTAACTTCAAAGTCAGAAATCAAATTTGGTTTATTTTAAAACAATTATGATTTTGTTTTTGCCACCTCCCACAGCACAATCTGCTACAGTTTTTTTTACCGTCTGGCAACGGTTTTCAGTTTTAACAGTTCAATGTTAATGGTGTCTTTATTAGTGCCTGATGCTAAGATTGTTAAGCAAACAGTCCACAGATAAAACAATACAGAATTTCATGTTTTGTCATGGGGATTATTTTTTGTCGATTATTTAGAATAACACAACCATAGTTCCGAGAAACATGTGTCACTATTTCATTTTCCACACTGTAACTTGACTTGACTGATCTTGGTGTGCAAATTTGCCCAGCACTTTAACCTTATTGAATCTTACAGTACATTTCAGTTAGGAGTTTACTTTGTTTCCATTGTTGATTTGTTTCAATTTGTATTCATTAGATAGAGAGATAAAGAACACGTTCTGAGACACTAAGTTAAATATACTTAATTTGCTTGTCTGACTTTATAAGCATGAGCTGATTATATAGGTAAATATAATCAGCGTTGTAAAAAACATTAGTATTACTTGAGCCATACTACTTGGAGGTAATAAAATGACTTCACCACATGATGGCAGCAAACTGTTAAGTATGGTGCAGAAAGTGGTCAGAGAGTCAGGCTAGTATACACAAAGGAAATTAAGTTCATTATACAAAGCAGACATGCCATTATTCACTGGAACAGAAAGGAATAATTAATTTAAGACACAATTATTATTATTATTGCATTTATCAACATTTCTTTATAAATATGTTATACCTACCTCTATTTTCTTTTAGGGATCATGTAGATGTCTGATGGAACACGTGAGACATGATGGCTTCCTCTGGTCTGCAGGTCCCTGTTTTTGCCACCTCCGCCGAGTAAATGATGTCAGTTCCTCCACCAGCTTGTATTTGATGTATACTGAAAGGATTACGTACTTCCAACACCATGAACAAATTAATCTCTATATTGCCATGGCACACCCAGTAAGTTTCACACTAGATCATGCTCATGCAAGTTGGAGAAATGACTAACTTCATAACTATCTTTATTTAATTCACTGAAATGTCAAACTACACAAGTTGTAAAGTATGAAGGATGAAGTAGGCATTTATTGTAATCAAGATATATTCTCATATAACTTTTTTTTTAAACTCTACCACCTCCCATAATGTGTTCACAGACACAGGAAATGCTATTGTTCCAGACAGGATATGCCCAGAGTGGGGCCACAGATGACACGCATAGAGATTGATATTGAGGGTGAGTGTGATACAACCACAGTAAGAGAGAAATCCATAATGAGCTTCCTGCAATGGACACTTTCTATTATGTCATTCAGTATCAGATCCCTTCTGACTGTTAATGACCTTCACTCCAGCATGTGCGGACATTTACAGTAACACACACACACACACACACACACACACACACACACACACACACACACACACACACACACACTAAACAAAGCCAGTATTGTGGGCTGCAGCCACTAGAGAAGAGTCTCACACAGCTATGTGAAATTGAACCATGGTAACTGAATTGGAATCTTGGCCAGTGTCTAGCATCCTGTATTTACACAATAAGTATGACAAAGATGTATAACTGCTCGAGTGAGGGTGGGTGGGTGCCTATGTATTTCTATACTCATGTTCTCTCCACTTGCACATTAATTAGAGGATACCTACTTTCCTTCCACAGAACATAAGTGTCACGGAGGTGATCTCTGGGCCCATAGATCTCGGCCTCCGTTACGGGTTGTATAGCTTAATTGTTGGGGATTGTGTTCACCTGGTGCCCTGTGATGGCTCCTCCCCCCTCACCTGTGTCTTAGTCTGTGTGTGTATTTAGGTGCTGTTTTCTTGTTGGGTTAGAGGTGTGTGAGATCCTTGTGGCTGGTGACTGTGCTCACGTGAACAGCGAGATTGAGGCTGTGTCATGTGCCCGTGAGTAATAAATGCCCACACCGGGTTGTATTTTGGACGTTCTGCCTCTGCCTCCTTGCTTGGTCGGGCCGCTCAACGGTCAGCTTCACAATAAGGTACCCAAACACTAAGATTTCACGCTGTGTCTGATTTATTTAGAAAATTAAATTTGATTCAAGGCTTAAGAGTAACATAACATAAGAATTACAGTTTGCATTTGCATCAGGTTTAGGGCTGTGTCTAGGGTTTAAATCAGTGTAATGATATTTATAGGAATAATTTGTGATAGCGAATGTTTGCAAATACTCAGACAAAACTCATACGTGCACGACAAAATCTTAAGACTGATTTAATTCAGATTTCATTAAAGTCATTCATTTAAACAGCAGAACGTGATAAAATTACATCACTATGGTTTCACCGAACAGTGATGATGAAAAGTAATTTTGAATGTTTTCCCTATGCTATATGTGTAGGGTCAGAATATAATCTTTCTCAAAGAGTGTCCATAAGTACAGCTTTTTAGCTTCAACATTGTGTGTATTCCTTTTTGTATGTCCCTGTGTGTCTGCCAAGATCTCTGTAATGTTTTCGCCTTTAGAAATAATACATTCAGCATAGTTTGCTCCTAAAATGTTCTTGTTACCTCCCGTCATTTACACACACAGACCCACACACATTTATACACACCGGATGACGTGCAGCTAGCCTCATGCCTAAGGAGCAGACTGCGACACAGCATCCAACTCCCTCCCTCTCTCCCTCCCTCCCTCTCCTGCAGTCCTCTCCTCTCCTGTCCCAGGCAGCACTGCTCCGCCTCCTCCTGCTGCCCTGCCTGACTGCTCATCAATAAGCTGTATTAGCCATCACTAATCATATTGCGAGAGACAGAGAGCGAGAGGTTAGGGCAGCTAGACTTTGTGTGTATCATCTCCAGTGTGTGTGTGTGTGCGTGTGCGTGTGCATGTGTGCGTGTGCGTGTGCATGTGTGCAGGCAGGGAGGGAGGGAGGGAGGGAGGAGGGAGGGGGTGTATCCTAGCAGAGAGCTTTTCCCTGTTGTAGTAACCAACCGCATGCCGGCTTGCCAGCCGTTACTTCACTGCAGCAGCAGCAGCAATCAGCCCTCTCGTATTGAGTGAGCCAGACACGCTAACCTGTCTGTCCCCTCCTCTTTTCTCTCTCGCTCTCTCTGCATATTCAGCAGAGCTGCCCTTCTCTCCTCCTCATCACTCTGCCACTCCTGCGGCGTTGCTCTTTGCTTGAAGGGGACACTGGCCTGCTCCTCACCCACTGATTCTGCATGACTGTCACAAAGGTAAGACCACTCTGCATGGGATGCAACTTTCAGGATGTCAACAGTAATTTGGGATTGTGGGTGGATTGGACCGTGAAGGTTATTTTGGGTGTTATTCTCATGAGTTGAGTTTTTAAGTAGTGTAGTGTAGAGTTGCGGGAGCAGAAGGTTATCATGATGCTGCTGCCATAGGATGTTGCTTAATTTGTCTTCCCATTAGAAATGCATTTCGGTTATGATAAAACCAGAATCGAATTCTGTGATTACATTCTCTAATCTGCAGCTTATTACAGGCCGGCAGCAATTTGTACTGGGTATGAAGTTATTATTTCATCTGTATAGGACTTTATTTTAAATGAGACTTGGCATTTGAAGACTAAACTTTGTTTGCTGCTGTCATTTTGACTCCCTTTCAAAATATGTTATCATAGTGTATGTACAGGGTTGATAAGAGATGAAGAGTCTGTGCTAATTCTGGCCAATTTGGTTGTTTAAATTATTTGATTCCACTTGTATCAATAAGAATATGGGAGATCGTTAGCAGGTTTTGTTTGCTAGCAGCTGCAGGGAATAGTCTCTTAAAGCCTGAAGATGGCTTTGACAAACACTGATTTATTATACTAATTAACTGAAAGATTACCATTTAGATATACTAATTATGGATTTTTAAGTACTTAAGATGAAAAAGTGTTGTCAGTGTGCTTCAATCATACTGTGGATTTGTCTTGCTCAACTGTGAATTGCATTATAGCACTTTGCTTTGGACAAAAGTGTCAGTCAAATGAATACATGCTGTTTAACTGTCACATTAGGAGACTCAGCCTAGTTAATGGGTGGAAAGCAGTATCACATTAGGCAAACTACCAATTTTAGGGCTTAGAATTGGGTTTTGCTTAATGTTAGGGTTCAATTATTTTAATGGTAAGTATTGGGGTTAGATAAAGACGAATATGGTCAATCTTCTTAGAGTAGTTGTCAACTCAGTGTCCTCTCAAGTGATAACAGCACAAATGTTTGTGTGTGTTTGTAACAGTCCTAAGCTGATCTTAAAGTAGCCGTTTTACCTCTCCTGGTTGACTGTTTGTGTGCACCAAAGTGAGTATTGGTGGATGCAGTCTCTGCTTTAAGCCGCAGTCTCCGGTTAAATCCTCTTTATCAATTAACAGAAAGGGAGAGACAGAGCCAGAGAGACAAATAGAGAGACAGAGAAACAGGAAGACACACAGAGAGAGGAAATTAGCACACCTACTCCCATGTAGAGAATTAACCTGGACTAAAATAGATGACCTACTGAAGACAGAGGACAATGGCCTATTTACTAACACTTGCAGTCACACACCTGCAGGGTCTACACGGAAGTTATGTTAACACAGAATGGCTTAGTTTTGATTTCCAGGCTGAAATCTCTCACACAGATTCACAGACGAAGCCTCTCAAAGTAAAATTTGTCTTCCTGTGAGAGAGATTGTGTGGGAGGTGTGTTTGCGGCTGTGTAGGTGGATGCTCTCCACTACGAGAACTGAGTGAGGAAAAGGTCATGTGCTTGTGTGTTGGCACTGAGCCAAAGCCTAAGTCTGACTGTAGACAAAGCCACATGCATTGTACAGAATTTTAATGAATACACCCATGAGTTTTATTGTCATTGCTAGCATTTTATTTCTTACCCGCAATTATGGAAATGAGGTGAGGATGGAGAAGAGAAAAAAAGGAAAGTAAAAAATGTACTTTGACATCTCAAAAAAAGACACAAGAGCACATTATCAAGTGGTATCTAAAAGATTATTGGTGTGTAGGAGAAGCAGAGAGAGAGAGAGTGTGTTTTCAGGGCTCTGCCTGCCAACAGCAGAGAGTCACCTTGGGAGTGATACAGGACAAGAGCTGCTTTGCTGACGGGGCTAAACAGCCTTCTACCCCTCAGCACACACACACACACACACAGACACACAGACAATGTTCTGGAGAGACAGTCTCTGCAATGCCTACTTAGTATCAGATCACCATTATGGTCTATGACCTTTTGTGTCTGCATGGATTTACAATGAATTGCAATGGGGGCATATACATTTACACCTGTAACATAAATATGGCAGTGATGACATCTCTTTGAAAAAGCTATAATGTACATGTTGGCCTATAAGCACTGTGTTTTAACCGAACAACGCATCATTACACACATAAGCACATTTATAGGAGGAGGATTATCTCCTTAGAATAATAAATCGGTACGTGATATGCTGCATACTTGATTAATACAAAAATAGGTGACATACTTAAAGGAAACCTATCATGCTATATTTAAATGATATATTGTAGGGCCATACCTATATAAGGTATATTTATACGTTTCTGTTTTCAAAATACCAAACAGATCATGCATTTTAGCCATGCCTCATTTCGCTCTATGTGCTGTTTGCTGTCTACGGGGCTGATCTCTGTGAGCTGCAGCTGACCACGCCCCCCTGCAGGAGAGGTGAGACGTGCTCTGATCAGCTGCTGGGCTGTCAGAAGAGGGGGAGAAAAAGAGATCTCTGTGTTTTATTATATAGAGTCGTTATTCATTTGTTTTAAAGCTCAATAAATAACAAAGAAGACCTTTGACCGGCACTTTTCAAATTTTGTCCGGAAGATTTAAACTTTAACGGACATCTTGACCGGCGAAACAAACTGAAACTCTGCCGCACGGTCCCCTCGTTCCTTGGAAGAGGCGGAGAGGTGGGTGTTTGTCATCTGCTGGTGGACTAACCGGAGAGAATTACAGTGCTTGCCTCGACGGGGAGGGATTGCATTGCAGTGGGAGCAAACGCTTGCCTCGGGGAGGGAGAAAGAAAGCCACAGCGGAGAATAAACAGAAGGGTAACCATGGTAACCAAGTCTTCTTCGCTGCTTTTGTGGCAGACTACAGCGCCACTTACAGGCCTGGCATATGTACTACAGCGTCTCCAGCGCTTTCGAGCGGCAATGGCCGTGGCTGTCTCCTCCTGATTGGTGGAGTTGGCCCAATAGCCGTAGCGCCACCGTCCTGACGTCAGGACACTGTTCAAATCTGGATCAGTTTTTTATCAGATCCGTTGCAGCCCCTTTTTTTTAGAGATTTGGGTATGGAGGAAAATAGAGAGGGTTATGTTTTCTGACACTTGGTGAGTTCCCTGGAACACCGGGGACACATATTCATGTATAAAAGACGTACAAAAGTGCATTTTGTATGATAGGTCCCCTTTAAAGTATGTTATAAGTTGCTAAACATTCTGCATCAACAAACCGTTTGGTTATAAAAAGTTTATACATCACCAGATTTAAAATATTGCTGTTTTACAATTTAGTCCATTTCTTTATGGCAAAATAGCAAACAACCAATGCAGAGCAAACACAATTTATTTTTAACGCAGTCTTTATTTAATGTTGTTTAGGCTGCTATGCATCTCACTTAAGCGATGTTCCTGCAAGAGATGTTACAAGACTTGGCCTTTGGAAACTTTAATCCCATAACACAACTTCACATTGTATTTCTGACTTTGCAAGCTATAACTACATTCTTAATGTTTTTCGCAATGGGGATGAATGCAAAGCTGACAATGCATGAGAATGTCTGTAAGAATGTAAAATGAGTCTTAGTAACATGCACACTGTGATAAACAACTGCAAACAAAGCCAGAAACTACCATTTTGTCCTCTGATAAAATGCTGACAGTGAAAATAGGTCATTGCGAGATAAATCCATGGCCTTTGCTTTGATTCGTGGCCTAACTGGACTGAGTCCTCTGTGAGACGGGACCATAAGCTCTTTAGCTTTTTAACGTTTAGTCTACTGGCAATAACATTCTTTGGGCCTGGAGGATTTTACTGGATATTGCTACCAAATATCTTAATGCGTCAGATTGAAAGTCAAAATATGATTCATATATTACCCGAGGGTAATGCATTCCCTGACTTCTGCTGTTATACTGAAGATTTATGAGAGGAATAAACTGTGTGTTACTATGCCAAATGCTGCTAGTACTCAACACTGCTGAGGAGTTCCTAGGGAGAATCCAAGAAAAAGCATTTTCACATTAGTTTTCTCTAAAAGTAATCCCAGAGATGCACGAAGGAAAGTGTTTGAAAGGGGAATGACGTTTAACACAGGCCTGTGACTCAGTAATATAACAGTGACGTGGTATGCATGTTAGTGCTCTACATTACACCCCACAAATTAGTTTTCAATCTCAATTTTAACAGCTGGTTGTGCAAAAATAAAAAAGTACCTTTAAATGAAAAAAGGTCAAAAATATGTTTTTTGCCCATTTACCAAAAAAATGACATTTTGCTTACATAATACTTTTTGCAGTTCTTGTAATTATTTGTATTTTCCATTGGAAAACTGCTTTGCAGATATGGAACTATAAGCCTTTTTTTTTGCAAAATGATGACACATTACACATGACTATGATCTGAAAATATCCACAATATTCAATTGAATGTAGTATTTATCCAGAATATTGAATTGAGTGAGATCCTTAGTGCTGAATACAGCATGTTGCTCTGTGTGGCAGAAAACTTCCAACACAGCTGGCACACCAGGGCACGGCATAAGATTATTATTATTATTATTATTATTATTACTATATCTGGACACTCTGTTCTTATTTGCCTTGTGATTGTGTGAATGTCTGTGTGTGGACGTGGGTGGGAAGGCCCAAATGTGAGTTGGAAGACACAGTGTAGGTGGGTGGAGAACTTCCATTGCTACTACTAAATCGGTACAGAGTATTGGAGTTCTTGTAATATCAGCAAAAGGACAAACCTGTTTATCTGCTGTCTTTTGACCTGAAACTGATTCTTTTTGCATCCTTCCTCAAGGCTGTTTGACCTCATCTCAAAGATCTCAATGAAAGCCTGCAGCAGCCAGCTGCTCGATTACATAAGCTAAACGTAGGAAGGCAAACCCATACAGTAAAAACCCTGAGCAGTATTCAGTTTGTTTAATAAAAGACTATTTGTATCCTCCAACAACACAGACAGGCAACAGAGGCTAGCCCTCGCAT